GATGATGCGCTGCGGCGTCTGCTTGCCACAGCTGCACTCGATGCGGCACGCCCAGTTGCCATCCATGCCACATGAGCAGCTCCAGAATGGCTTCTTCGAACCTCGCAGCACCCTCTGCCTCGGCTGCTGCTCCTGCGCCTTGGCCGGCGCTGGCGCCATCGCCCGCGCCATCGCCCCTGCTCAGGAGCCGCGATGGCCGTCCAAGCGCTGGGCCGCACTGCGCAGCCGCGCCGCCAGGCCAGGAGTCCAGCGCCCCGCCCAGGCGTGGAGGAGGGCGCGATCCTCCTTGCGTCGGAGTCGCGCTCGATGGTGGGCGGCGGTCTCCCTGGGAGCCGCCGTCGCGCGAGCGCTAGTCTCAGCGCGCGACAGGAGCCGAATCCCCCTCGCCTGCAGCCCCGCAGGCGCCCGAAGGGGGGCGGCAGCTCCTCGCGAGCCGAAAACTGGAGGAGGAGGAGGAGGAGGAGGAGGAGGGGGAGGGGAGGGGGAGGGGCAGGGGGGGGGAGGGGGAGGAGGAGGAGGAGGAGGAGGAGGAGAAGGAGGAGGAAGAGGAGGAGGAGGAGGAGGAGGAGGAGGAGGAGGAGGAGGAGAAGGTGGAGGAGGAGGAGGGGGAAGAGGAGGAGGAGGAGGGGAACCACTCTGGCCGAGGCTGCTTCGGGCTGCTCTGCGAGCCGGCGGGTCAGAGGACGCATCGGGCGCCGCGGCCGCTCCAGGGCGCTCTGGCACGCTGCGCTCCGAGAGCGCTCCGAGACGCCCTGGAGCGATCAATCGTCATCTCAGGCCTGCCAAACCAGACGCCTCTCGGGGCCCACGCTGGCGCATGTCCTGCCCCGGGTCACCCTCTGGCGACCCCCGGGGCCCGAGGCGGGGCCTCAGAGGCCAGAAATGACCAGCAGCCCTCTGGGCGCAGCTGGCCTGACGCGCTCTTCCTCTCCTGCTCCAGACTGCTTTTCCCTGCGGGGAGGGGCCCCCTCCCCCTCCCCTCCCGGGGGGTCGTTTGGGGGGGTTTGCGAGTGGCCCAACAGGCTCCAAGAGGGCCCCGATGCTTCAAGGTGGCCCCGAAGATGGCTTGAGATTGGGGAGACCAAAGAGGTACCGATACCGCTGCTCCCCCGACCTCCCCCGGGGTGCGTTCTGACTAGGATTTCGAGGCGAATCCAGCGGTGGCGACGATGGCCGGGCAGGAGGCCCCAAAAGGGGAAAGCGAGGGGAGGGCAGCGGAAGGGGTACCTTTTCCTCCTCTGAGACGATAGCCGAAGAGCGGTCAAGATGGCTTCGGACAATGCCTCCAATGGCAACGATCGTTGCGTTCTCGCCTTGCCGCTTCCGATACGGCTTGAGAGGCCGCAGCATGGTCCCAATCTGGCCCCAAAGAGTCCACGAGGGGCCCAAGACGCCACCAAGACCGCCCGCCCAAGAGCGCCTCAAGGGTGCCCCAAGATGGCCCCAAGGGGCGATTTTGACGGCCCAAGAAAGGGGGGGGGGAATTCGGAAATCCCCCCTCTTTTGATCGACGCCCTCCAAGATGGCCCCAAGAGGCCCTCCAAGCCTCCTAAGAGGCCTCCCTAAGAGGGCCTCTAGAAGACCTCAAGATGGCTGCCATAGTCTTCGTTCGCCACCTCTTCACCCTGCTCGTCGTCGTCCTCGTCCTCCTCACACAAATTTTCCTCCTCGCCCTCCTACTCGTCCTCCTTCTGGTCCCCGTCCTTCTCCTCCTCCTCCTCCTCCTCCTCGCCCTCCTCCTCGGTCTCGTCCTCGACCTGGGCCTGATCAGGCCAAAACAGAGCTTTCACCACTGCATGCTTCTGCACTGCCCTGATCAAGGCAACTCACCAGGGCACGGCTGGTGGGGATATGCGTAGCAGCAAGAACGCAGAGCACCTCCTGTCCCTCCGACGACGACGGCGACGTCGGCAGAGCGGAGAAGAGGGGGCTGCATGAGAAAGCCTGAAAAGGATGGGAAAGGTATTCCAAAAGAGGGTCCGGCTGAAAAGGGGTGGTGCAGTAGATTTGGGGCAAGTGTACTGCAAATGTGTTACGGCGGAAAATTGGACTGAATTGTATTGCAAGTAATGCATTGCACGCAAAAAATCAAGCTAGTCATTTGCGCCCCGGAAATGTATTGCACGCCTCAAGTACACTGCAACCCCGTAAAGCTATTGCACCACCCCCTGGTCGCTGGACCCCCTTTTGGGGCAACCTGATGGAAGGAAGGATGTTTTTGTTCCTCCTCCCTTCCCACTGGCAGCCTGCTTAGTAACTCTGCGCCCTCGTGGGATCCCTCACTTTCCCTGCCCTCTTGGCCACTGGTTTTCCGCACGAGCTCTCTGCCTGATTTTTGGCCTCCGCGCCCAGGGTGGTATCTCCACGCACTCTGGCCATCCGCAAGAACGCTGCGATCCCAGTTTTAAGTCAGGCCTGTCCTCCTACCGGGGTGATTTTGGACGAAGAATAAGAAAGAAGTCAACAAACATTCAAAAATGCCAAACAATACTCCAAACATCGCCCCATACTATTCTTTGACTATCTTTGAATACTCCTCCTGTAGAGGGACAGGCCCGACTTCATCCCAGCTGCTCAGAACCAGCCTGACGTGAAGGAGGCGGCCGGCGGGCCGACGGAGGCTGCGGAAGGACGAGGACGACGAGGGACCGCGCGACGGCGGCGACGGCCGCCGCCCCCCCCCCCCCGAGGAAGCCCAGGGAGGCCCTGAGGGGCGCCCGAAAGCCTGATACCTCGGGCCCCGATCGACCGATCGACGCCAGCGACGCCGACAACGACAGCGAGCGGCGACGACGACGACGACGACGACGACAACGACGACGATGGTGAGCGACGACGACGACGACGACGACGACGACGACGACGACGACGACGACGACGACGACGACGACGACGACGACGGCAGCGGCGGCGGCGGCAGCGCCAACGGCCGCGGCGGCCGGTCGTGGCGTCCTGCGTGCGCCCAGGGGTTCGAAGCCAGCGGCAAAGGGGCGCCAGGAGGGCGCCAAGGAGGGGAAGCAGAGCGTAAGGGTGCACGGCCGCCTCGGCGGCGGCAACCCTACGAGGAAACGCTACCGTGGCCGAAAAATCCTCCAAAGAGCCCCCCCACTCGCATCACAGACAGGCGCGGGCACCCTCCCCTCTCCCAGGGCCACGATCCCCCGTGCAACAACGCTGGGTCCGCGATGCCGAGGCCACGTTCCTGGTAGAAAGCATGGCGCCGCGTCCAGAGATTCCAAAGCGGCCCAGGCAGGCAGCCAAAGTCGCCAAGATGGCCCAAGATGTCTCGAAGACAACAACAAATTGCCCCAAGGCGACCAACGATGGCCTCAAGACGGCCCAAGATGCCTCCAAGAAGGCTCAATAGGGCTACAAGGAGACCCCAAACAAGGGCCGAAGAAGCCAAACTGTGTGGCTTTCCGAAGGTGTTTGTGCTTCATGATTTTCCCATTCTCGCAGTCTTGGGCTTCAGAGGCCCCCGAAAGGGTCCCCCCAAACTTCCCCAGGAAGACCCCACGATGGCCCCCCAGGTATCGTAGACTGCGGGCCTCCGGAGGGAGTCAAGGCAGCCTTAGAGGGCCCTCCGACGGCCCTTCCACGGCCCCACGACTGCCCCCAGAAACCTTCCATACACGTCGGTCGGAAGAAGTAGGTAAAAGCATGAAGTAGGAAGGCGACATAGTGGATTGGGTCCGGGCCCTCCCAGAGAATAACAAAAGACAGCAAAAGCATGCCGATTCTTGAAGTAGGACGGCGCTTGAAGTAGATTGGGATCTGGGAATCCAAAATACCTACTTTCAACGACCGGCGTGTACGGCCAAAAGGGCCCCACGTCGGCCTAAGAGAGCCGCAAGACGGCCTGACAGGGCCCCAAGGCGGCCAGAGAGGGCCCCAGGACGGCCCCAGGGGACCTTCAAGGCTGCCCCACAGGAGGCCAAAACAGCCCCAAGACGGCCCACATGAGCTCCGTGAGAGCTCCTCCACGAAGAAGTACAGGCGAAACGTGTCCACGTGTGACGGCCTCCCTCTTCTTCATCCCCATCGTCCTCGTCGTCCTCATCATCATCCCCATCGTCCTCGTCGTCCTCATCATCATCCTCATCACGACTCTCCCAAGCCTGGAGACACGAGGTGTGCCGCACGCCACGGCCTCCCCTGACCCCTCAAGCAATCGCCACCCCGACTGCTGCGCTGGCCCGGTGGCGGGACTTGCCGCAGGCAGCCGGATACTCTTGGAAGCCCGCGCGGGCTTATCTTGGATCGGCGCCAGGGGACCCCCAAGGCGCCGCCAGGGGGGGGCCCAGCGGCAACTTGTTACGCCCGACTCGTTGTTTGGTTTTTGAATTATGAAGGGGGCCTGGGACACACAAAAAGATACACACAAATAAAACTATTCCCCATATTTTCCTGTATTTTCGGGATTTTGGTCTTCCCCACCACTTCCCATATTTTCCCATATTTTCTGGGGGATCGACGATTAATTGTGTCTGTGTGTTTCTTCCCCTCCTGAAATTAACCTTGATACGCCCGAGCTGGTTCTGGGAGCACCGGCCGCGGCCGCTGTTGGGACGGCGGCCTTCTGGCTCACATTGGCACCGCCCGCGGTGGCACCGACTACGAGCCCCGTGAGAAAGAACAAGGACCGCTGTCGGTCTTCGTGCCCACTGTTTCCGTACCCATTCCGCTCGTGCCGACCAGTGCTCGAGGAAACACAGAACTGCATAGGCATCAGCTGTCGGAGGTCCGCGCGGATGTCTTGGATCAGCGCTGGACCCCCTCCCTGGCGCGCGGGAGGAGCGCGCCAGGAGCAGCGCGCCCGAGGCGCCGCCAGGGGGGTCCGGCGCGAAGCGTCGACAGTTTCTGTTTACACTGTTCGTTTTCCTTCGAGGCGCGGCAGCGGCGGCAGCGGCAGCCGCTGCGGCCGTCGCTGCGGCCGCGGCGGCGACAACGGCGGCAGCGGCAGCCACCGCGGCGGCAGCCGCGACGGCGGCGGCCGCGGCCTGCGAGCCCCAGGTCCCGTAGGCGCCCGCCGCGGCGTGGCTGCCCTCGCTGCCGGGGCGCAGGAGCCGCTGGCGCCCAGCGGCGCGGACGCGGCGGGCACTTGCGCGCGAGGACCAGCCGAGGATGCATCAGCGATGCCGCGAGGCGCCCTATACCATCCCCAAGTCCCAGCTCTCCCAACCGCAGGTGCCACGCGCCGTCATTGACGAACCAACAACACACACACACACACATACCCATAGGGGTGTCGGAGAGGGCTATGGGTGCGTGTTGTCGGATGGGGGTCCCCACTCGAACGGGAGCGTTCCCCAGGGTCCGACAACCCGCACCCATACCCATAGCGAGCCCTCCCCCCAACGACCCCCCTATGGGTGTGGGTGTGTGTTGTTCGTTCGTCGGTCCTGCTCACCCTCAGAAGCCCCCCCCCCTCCTGAGAAAGACGGGCGCCCCCACGGGCCTGCCGCCCGGGCGAGGGCCGGCCGGGCTTCGAGGAGCGGAGCGGCATCTGGGCTCTGGGGGAGTCAGCGGTGCGTGTCCAGCGACAGCCCCGCCGCGAGAAGGAACCAGGCCCCGTCCGCGCAGCTGAAGTTGGCAGGATCCCGAAAAAGAGAGTTCCTTTCGGAAGCATCCCAAAATTGACAAGATCCCCCAAAAAAGAGAGTTCCTTTCTGAAGCATCCCCAAATTGACAAGATCCCGAAAAAGAGAGTTCCTTTCGGAAGCATCCCCAACATTGACAAGGTCCCAGAAGAAGAGAGTCCCTTGCTGAAGCATCCCAACAAAAAGAGAGTTTCCCCCCAAAAGAGATGCTCACATTGACAAGGTCCCCAAAAAATTGACAAGACCCTCTCCACCAGTGGAGTTGCAGCATGTGCGCTCAACCTTCGGGTCAATACATTTGAAGACGTCCGCAGCGAGAAGAACAAGAAGAAGGAAAAGGCGCCGTCCTCCATCACGAAAAAAGGAGCCGTGAAAAGGAGCCTACGTCTTCTGGTCGTGAGAAGGAGCCGTCCTCCATCCCGTGTGACTGCTGTAAGCTGCTGAAGTGAATTTGCGCGGCGCTAGGGCGCGAGCTGCGCATTTTGAAAACAATCGCTAATCCATCCTCGTGGCTGCTGCAACCTTTTAAATCGAATGCGCGCGGCGCTACAGTGAGAGGCCCATTTCGAAACAACCATACACCGTCATGGCAACTGTTGCGGATGTCAAGCTTCAGGACCAACATGAGTGAGGAATTCTCAGGCGAAACGCGCGTCCCGCCTGGGAGGGCGGGAGGGAGGAGTTGTTTGCATACGTGTCTTTATCTGTATATATATATATATACATATGCACACCAATCCATACATATATATATATATATGTATGAATATATGTATGCATTTTTATATATATATATATATATATATATATATATATTATATATATATATACATATATACATATATATATATAGATCGGCATACATATATCTATAGAGAGATATTGAAACAACAGACGGAGAGGAACGGAGGGGAGGGGAAACAAAAACACGAGCCGCAAGGGGGGGGGGGGGCGTTTGCGGCCTCCGGGGGCCTTCACTGGGCCTCGGAACTTTCAAACAATGATCGACCAGAGATGGCATGCCCTGGGGAAGTGCTCCAGACCTCTGGGGGACCACGCTGTCAAACAAGTCACGGCGTCGAAGTCTTGGAAAGACATGGAGGAGAAGGGGAGAGGAGGAGGAGGAGAAGGAGGAGAAGGAGGAGGACGAGGAGGAGGATGAGGAGGGGGAGAGGGAGAGGGAGGTGGTTAGAGAGGGGCCCTGACCTCCCATGAGGCCCACTAAATACCACTAATACCTCTGCGGTGCCGACGATCGATTAGAATTTACGTGGTCCTAATAGGTCTGCCTGGAGGCCTATTTCTCAACACTCTGAAGAACGTCATTGGGGGAGGGGGCGGAGGAAGAGGAGGAGGGGGAGGGAGGAGGAGGAGGAGGCGGAAGAGGAAGAAGAGTAGGAGGAGGAGGCGGAGGAGGAGGAGGAGGAGGAGAAGGAGAAGGAGGAGGAGGGGGAGAAGGAGGAGGAAGAAGAGGAGGAAGAGGAGGAGGGGGGGAGGGGGATGATGCCCGCGGGGTGAGGCGGACCGCGTCGAGCCACGGCCACCCCTGCGAGGCGCGCGCCTCACGCGCGCCCGCGCCTCGGCGCAGCTACGCACCCGAGGCTGTCGGCTAGGCCTCACCCCGCGCGGCCCGCAGCAGCCTCGCCACCTTGGCTGCCAAGCCTGGCGAGCTGCTGCGCTCCCGCGCGCCACGCCGCGGCCTCGGCCAGCCGCCTCCGCCGCCCGCAGCCCCTGCTTCGCGTCGAGCAGCAGAGCCACCTGCGGGCGGCATCCTCTCCTCCTGCAGCCCGCTCTCCATGGCCACGTGGTCGCCGCCCGCAGCCCCTGCTTCGCATCGAGCAGCAGGTTCCCCTGCGGGCGGCTGGACCTCCTCCTGCGGCCTGACCTCTGTGGCCTCGCGCGGCTGTGACGGTCCGCCGCCGCTGCCACCTGCAGCCACCTCGTCTCCTGCCTGTGCAGGGCCCGTCACAGGCCGCTGCCATTCGTCCTGCTGCTTGGCCACCTTGGCCACACGCCTCGGCGACCGCGAGGGCGGCGTCAGCTCGGCCAGCCTCGGTGAGCTGCTGCGCACTCGCGCACGGCGCCGCGCGCCTGGCCCTCCGCCGCCGCCCGCAGCCCCTGCCTCTCCTCGTGCCGCGGCGTGGCGCACCGCGGCTGCACGCCTGCCGCCAGCTCGCCCGCTCGGGCCAGCCGCTGCGCTGCAGTCCTCCGCTTCGTCCGCCAGCACCTGGACTCCGCTGGCCACGCGTGGCTGGGGCGGTCCGCCGCCGCTGCCACCTGCAGCCACCTCGTATCCTCTCTCGGCAGGGCCCGTCTCAGGCCGCTGGCTGCCCTCCTGCCGCCTGGCTACCTCGGCCGCCGTCCTCAGCGCCAGCGAGGGCGGCGTCGGAGCGTCCTGCCTCGGCGAGCTGCTGCGCACACCCGCGCGGCGCCGCGGGCCTGGCCCGCCGCCGCCGCCTGCAGGCCCTGCCTCTCCTCCTGCGGCCTCCTGGCGCGTTGCGGCTGCACGCCCTCCGTCAGCTCGCCCTCTCGGGCCAGCCGCACTGCGGTAGCCCCCGTGGGTCAGGGGACGCAGCAAGCCCGCGTCCTCACCGCCACCTGGAGCTCCTTCTGGCTTGCGCAGGGCGTGGCCGTCCTCCTCCCCCGCGACGTCCTGCGGCGACTGGCCTCTCACCTCCTGCGCGTCGTCCGCCATCATCGGCGGGGGCGGACCGCCGCCGCTGCCACCTGTGGCCACCTCGTCTCCTCCCTCTGCAGGTCCCGCCTCACGCTGGGGCCTGCTGCGGTCTAACCCCTCACCGCGCGGGGGAACGCCGAGTCTCGCACTGTCCGCATCCACAGTGCTGCTGCCCACTGGCACGGGCATGGTCCCTCGCCTATGCCACTCTCTGTGTTCGCGGTTCACGTGGTATCCGCGGGCCAAGCCCTCCCCCTCGCGTTCAGTCTGACGGTTTCCCAGGGTATGGGTCCGCTCTGTTAGTTGCGAGGTCCTGTCTACCACACTGTTGGTCAAAAGATCCGCGTCATGCTCACTGGGCTCGTCAGGGACCTCAGCTCGTCCTCTCAGGCCAGCCGCCGCTCTGGAGCCCTCAGGGGTCAGGGGACGCAGCGAGCCCGCATCCTCCCCTGCCCCACCACCTGGAGCTCCTCCTGGCGGCCTCAAGGAGTGGCCGTCCTCCTCTTCCGCGATGTCCCGCGGCGACTGCCCTCTCCCCTCCTGCACGTCGTCCGCCAGCACCGTGATGTTGACTGCCACCTCACTGACCACCTTCGGAGCCAGCCCCTTCCTCAGTCTCGCGACTGCGGCGGCACCTGCAGCCGACGGGACACTCCTGCACTCGAGGTGGAAGGAGCTCGCTCTGGCCGCGCCTGTGAAGCCGCACGCCCTGCAAGCGACCAGCGGCATCCTGCGCACCAGCATCCTCCAATCCACAGGCGCAAGGAGCACCAGGTCGTGCGACGCCCTCTGCTGCGCCTTCAGCCTGTTGTTGGCCCTGATCGCCTCGGCGACGATGCTGCCAGGGCACTCACCTGATCTGCCTGACCATCTGCAGACCTCGCACCAGGGACGCTGGCCAGGCAGCCTCCGCCAGACGCAGGCCATCCTCGCCGCTGGCTCCTTGCGCACTGGCAGGGCTCGCCGCACCTTCGTCTTGCCGTGCGTGGTGTCGCTGCCGTCGACCCAGCTGCCGACAGCCGCGCACCACATGGCTGCTCGTTCAACCACGTCACGGCTCCTCTCCAGGCGCTCTCTGTCCCTCGCGGGGAGGCGCCCGCTGGCCGCCGCAGCCTTTGCCGCCCTGTCAGCCAGTCGGTTGCCGTACCAATCTCTGTACAGCACTTCGCCTGCCGCCACCTGCCGCCGCGTACTGTGGCTGGGCATCCACCTGAGGCTGACCTCTTGCCCGAGACCTCCTCGCTCGTCCAGCAGGTCCCAAGCTCGCCTCCACAGGTGCGCCCACGTGTACGCGTAGCCCGTGGTGCCAACCCTGCCGACCTTGTAGAAGCCGTCGTAGACGTACTTGGAGTCGACCACCAGCACCGTGATCCCTTGGCCAAACCTGAGCGCCATGATCACCGCCGTGAGCTCCCCGCCGTTGATGTCCACGCAGTGGCCCTCCATCTGGCCAGCGATGGAGGCCTTGTAGCCGTCGCTGTGCGCCTGCAGCGCCACCACACTCCAGCCCACTGCCGCCGCCTCCTCGTAGTCCGCCTCGAACGCCGAGCCGTCGAGAAACAGCTCGCCTTCAGGAAGGGTGCCTCCTTCATGGTCGCCCTTCCAGCACACGTCGCTGCACACTGGCGGGCGGCGGATGCCCCGTGGTGTCGGCCACAGGCACCTCTCCAGCAGCAACTGCACCTCAGGCCTCCCGCCCTGCCTTCGGAGACCTGCCAAGTCCTCTGGGACGGTCAGCACCTCACTCCAGCACGGGCAGTCGAAGTGCCTGTGCATCAGCGTGCCCCTGGCGCCACACCTCAGGCACCCAGCACTGGGCGCCAGCCCCTTCTCCTCCTTGCGCGCCTGAGTCCACTGCCCGTCGATGATGAGGGAC